GGGGAGGAGCGGGGCGGGGGATGCGGGGCAGGGTCGTCGCTCGGCCTCCGGGGGCATTTGGTGTTTAAGCAGAGGGACTTTTGTACCAAAACCTAAGTGCTGGTGTGAATACGAGCGAAAGCTAATGCTGTTACCAACTTTTTCGAAGGAGACTGTGCCTACCACCAAGTCGAGTGCTATTAAGTAATAAACTTTGTTGCTGAGCTATAAAATAGGCTTTATTATTGGCTATTGTTACTTTTTCTGTGTAGCCAGTAAGAGTGAAACTCGCCGTGTACTGGTGCCTGGTACCCGTGTTGTTAAGGGTCTGTCAACATTTCCATTATTAAACTTCTGTTTTGAACGATTTATAACTTGACTTCAGAAGTTCGTTCCAGGCTGAACCTTGGCAAGTACTCTCCCAGCCTAGGAGTTAATTCATTTTCCAAATACTCAAAAAAGCAGTCTGGCCTTCATATAGGAAGACTGAAAAGAAGATTGGAAGAGGTGGAGCTGATCTGCTTCTGTAGTTTTGCTAGCTTCTAAGTTGCAGACCTTTAATAACATACTGAAATCCTTCAAGGAATAAGGGGTTTAGTGTATAGTGCTCTCCCAACTTGTGCAAATTTCATCACGGTTTCATTGTGTAGAAATCTGAAAGGGTAGACCGTTCATCCAACACTTGGTGCTGTGTCTTGTTAAATACAGTAACTGCAGTCAAATAGCTCTTGTGTTTGAATGCACTTAAAGTGTGTGATGATCATACAACTTTTGGTTGTACTTTTAGGCTTAGTCTAACATTGTAAACAATTCACAATTGTGAATGTCAATCTTCGTCTGTAAAGCATATTTAGTTGGATCACTGTTCCTTGTACCACTCAGTGGTTCTTAAAACATAAACTTGAAATCCAGCTGAAGCAAGAGAGAATCATTTGCTTCACTGTGGACTGTTTTTGGTTTTCCTTTTTGTTTAGTTGTGCCACATAAACATTCTGCTTAAAGAAAAGATCTCTATTTTCTTTAATTCTGTTATTGCCAGGAATTAAAATATTGCAAATCCACTTGATTTACTACTTGCTTATTTTGTCTGAATGTAAGTGCGAAGTGATTGGTTTCCAGTTGAACGCATGGAACTTCATGTGTGCTTGCATACAGATGGAGTGAAGCAGAACTGTAGGAGTAAGTGGGGCCTCATATGGTGCAATCCCTTGTGTAGAGAGGTGTGACAGGGACTGATACGTGCATCTCATTATAGGTGTCAGTGTTGTCCTGCTCTATCTATAAAACCAGTTAATTGGTAAATACATTTCTCAAAGCCATTTTTCCTTTAATCAAGTTTTCAGAGCTGCCTTTTCTGTTCCACGTTGGACACGTATTTACTACTGGCAAAGACCTTCTGTGTGCTTATGAGTGGTGACTCCGATGAATGGGTTTGTGAGTCATTCCTGATTGACTGGGTCAACCGTTTGCTGAAGCTTTGCTTTGGATAAAAGCGTGGACAGACTCTTTATACCCCTAAAAGTTTGAGTTATTAGGAAATGTTATGTTCAGTCTTCTTGTATGGGTTTTTTTAATGGTTGAATTCGTGAGTCTTCCTTTATTGGAACTCACTGCTGCCAGCTGGCATTTCACTATTGCTTTTCTCCTTGTGTGATCTTTTAAACCCCGAGTGGGGGGTGGGGATGGTGTGTGCGTGTACTTGAATCCCCACACCCCCACTTGAAAAGGAGAGTGGGAAATTAACTCCTCCACCAGGAAGTGGGTGTGATGGTAGTGAGTGGGTGCAGTCCAGTAACAAACCATTCAATGCACGGGATGAGATCTGCTGACTGCAGGCAGGTTTGTTCTTAACCCTGTGCTGAGGAGGATTTTTAGGTTTAGTTTTTAGTTTGAAAACTTTAGTTTTCAAGATAAAACTAAGGGCTCTCAACATATAAGGTTAATATTTCTTGATTTGCACAAGGGCTTTTGTGATGCTAGTTAACCAGACTACGTGGAGGCCTGCTTGAACAGTTACAACTGGAAAATAAGCAGAACTTTAGAACAACTGAGCTATGAATTTCTCCTGAAACATTAATTTAAAGTGAAATGTCTTCTGACAACTACATTTCTCCTGAAATATAGGAATTTTAATAAAATAATTTTACTCCTGGCAGGCCAGCACTGATGCCGGGACGGCAGGAGCCCTGACCCCACAGCATGTCCGAGCTCATTCCTCTCCAGCATCACTGCAGCTGGGAGCTGTTTCTCCAGGGACACTTACACCCTCTGGAGTAGTGACTGGACCTGGAGCTCCATCTTCTCAACACCTCCGCCAGTCTTCTTTTGAGATCCCTGATGATGTACCTTTGCCACCAGGTTGGGAGATGGCTAAGACACCATCTGGACAGAGATACTTTCTTAAGTAAGTAAAATTTCTTTTCAATTAGCTGTATCTCTGGCTTTTTTGTTGTTGTTGTTGGGATACATATTTTGTTTTTACAGTCTTAGAAGAATTTCGGTAAATTTCGTTGTGCTGAAAATACGTATTTTTAAAAACCTGCTCCTGATTTTAAGTAGGGGACCCTACTGCTTCAGTATTTCTCCCATATCAACTCTGCTGTTTCTGAAAACTGTATGTGGCAGTGAATATGACTGAATATTTGTCCTATCTTAATCTTAGCCAAAGAATATTTTCCATTATATTGTGTATTGAAAAATGAGTGAAATGAGCATAGTCATTCTGGAACAATGAGACTTTTGGATTTGGAGAATATTGTCAGAGTTGCCATGGAGGTCAAGATATGTTTTACCTCATTTTAATATTACAGATGTAAAAATACAGAGTTAACTTTAGAGACTATTGTAGTGACAGTATGTCAGGGCTTCTTATGTTCTGATTAAGGACAAGGGTTTAAATACACAACCAAAATGGTTTTTGCCTACTCTTTCTTCCTGAGGTAGTTAATATATGTGTTTGATTGTAGTATTTGTGTTTGTAACTTAACTCATCTATATTCCTGACAGTGAAAAGGAAACTTCAGAATTTCTAACATTGTTTCATGTTCCTAGAACTGTGTTTTTTCACACAGTGAAATTAGTATCACCTTTTCTATAACTGAAGAAAAGTTACACTTGCCATCCATTTGACACCCAATCCATCAGGAAACATTTTCTTTTATTCTGTGCAGTTTTCTAAAACAGCAAGGACTTGTCCTTCTTTCGGAAAGTGTGCCCACCAAGACCATAACTTTCCCTCAAATATTTTGACTATAATTTGAACTTTTTATGTAGCAGCAAGTCTCTAAATAACCCATTGTGTCATATGCAGGGTGGGGAGAGGTAACACTGTGTTACTTATGTAAAACTTGTTTCAACCAGAAAAACATATTTATTCCTACCTTTCTCACTCAAACATTGTGATTAATAGGTGCATCTGATTGAAGTAGTTGAGCTTGTAGCTTCAAAAACTAAAACAAATTTTGTCTGCAATGAAAGTTGAACTTGCAGAACTTCTTAAAAACGTTTCTTGTTCCTGTAGCTGTGGTATTCCCATACAGAGAAATTAGCTTTTTTTTTTTTTTCAACTGAAAAGAGGTTGCAGTAGTTGTCTGAAATTATTTGAGCCTGAAGGTCCCCTTTTGAGAACATTGTTGAATGAATGTGAAAATAAGCATTAGCTATAGATCTTGAAGATGTGATATTTTCTTTGGTGAAGTTTAACAGATCAGTGTGCTCTAGAATGAGTTCTTCAGCAGGCACAAGTAGAAGTTTTTTTTGATCTGTGTAAGTTTATGCCATTTGAGAGCTGTAGCTCATTGAACCTTGAGGAAAGAACAGAATGAGTTTTGAAATGAAAAGCAAACTTGTTTTGACTGTGTTAGTGAGAGCTCTTAAAGAGCAGCTTATGAAGCATGAAAAATAGATATTTGATTTTAAAGTTTTGCTGCCACAAGTGTTTGTTCTTGATAGCACTGTCAATTATACAGAAGATGAAACAGTTTAAGAGATGAAAACTGTCTTCCTGCTCTTCTAATGAATTTTTTTAATTGTGCTCATTCAGGTGAAATCGGAGTGAAAGATTTATTCTTGGAAAGCTTTTTCTGCAGTTTGATTATTACCACAAAAATCTTTCCTTTTTCTTCTGTGAGTTTTTTTATCCTTTCTTGCTGTCCTGGTATCCATTTCAAAGGGTCAGGTTTCAGCAAGAACAATAAAGAGCCTGAGACTGGAAAGTACACACAAGTCTGGCAAACTCATCTGCATGAGCAAGATCGTTTGTTCTCAAGCAGACATCCAAAGTAAATGATTGAAAGAGCTGCTAACTGTGAAGGATGTGTCTTGAAGGGGAAAGGAGTGGAAACAAACCAGGTTGTTAGGAAAAAAAATAAAGGCTGTACTTTTTGAACCTCTCCCTGCTGGGTCGCATGCTGACCTTGGGAGATTTTTAAACAGCGTAATGGGCTGTTTTCTTTTGGCTTTTCTTGGGTGATGCAGTGGTATGGAAGAGTCTAATGGGGACAGCTCTGTTCACACTTGAAAAACATTTCTTTGTAAAAGGTTGCCTAATAGAATCTACAGGTGAGATCCACCAACTTCAATGGAGTTTATTAAGATTTGTAAAAAACATGAAAGTACTAGCACAATGTTTGCTCTGTATGTGTAGGAAACCCAAAGAAATTTAAGACTAGTTTTGAGTAGCAAGTTTGTATACTAAGGATTTTTTTTCAGTGATGAGTGGTTAGTTCTATCTCACAGATGCAAGTCTGCTGCAACTCGTATTTTGCCTGGTTATACCTTAAATGTTTGCTTGAAGTGTGAGTACTAAGATTTCAGATTCTAAATACCTTTAATGTGGTTCCTTCCACCATATGCAGATTTTTAGTGTCTCTTCCAAGTGTTCAGCTTTTTTTCTTGATTGGCTGCTTCACTCTTTGTTTCCAGTTGCTCTATTCTGTAGCCACTCCATGAATGGTCTGGTAATCAGACTCTAGAAAGATCTTTGCAGAATAGGTAACAATATTAGATTTTTTCCAGATGTCAGTAAGCCTTATGGTTACAGTTATCATAATACTCTATAGTGCAAAGAGAATAATACAAAATTGAGTACCATACTTAATACACTCTGGAATTACAGTCACTTCCACTAATGAGTGCGTCAAGCACTGTGAACATAGTAATTTGTGCAAAGAAATGAAAACAGTGTATATGGGAGAGAAAATACTTAATAATCTCTGTGTGTGTGTATGTATATAGAGAGAGATGTGCAAAGTTGTTTGGCCAGGTATTTTATATACACACCCCATGTATCCATACATATTAAAAGAAGGTGAGAGCAGTACTATAGGGTTTGAACCAGAGCTATTCTTGTAAATTAGTCTGTCATCTGGATAAATAGACCCCCTTATGTATGAATGCCCAACATATGATTTGCCAGAATTCCACTCATTAGCATTCATCTCACTGTTATGAGTAGTACTGCTGAGTTTAATTTTCCCTTAGCAATGATTTTGAGCAGTGGTTAAGGCCTGCTTACTGTACAGCTGGTAAAACTATTTTTTATTGATACTGCTCCTTCAGTGGAGCTCGTAAGTTAAGACTTGCCTGGTTACTAAGTGGTCACATCTGAGTCATCTCTCACTGGTGTGCGGTAGCTTTAGCCCATTCTTAAACATACAGTAAAAAAGCCGAGCTTGGTTTGTGTGGTGATGTCAATTGCATTGCTTTTTAACCGCTTCCTGTTAGCCAGCTGCTGCTTGACATTTCGGTGAACTGTGCAGAAAGATAGGGGATTGCTCTCAAGGCAAAAGATAATGTACAGTGGGAGTAGCAGACAACAGCTTGCAGAAAGAAAAAAACAAATTTTGCTCGGTTTTAGAATTACTCTTGTATCATTTTAAATTATAGTTATCACTTTAATTCTCACAGAGCTTGTGTAATACCTCTTCTCTTGTTGTAGTGAGAGGAGAAGTTAACTGATAGTCCAGCAGACAAGTCTTGTAATTATTTTTCCTACAGGAAGTAGTTCTTGCAAGCAGTTTATCAACAACTTCCTATTTTTTCTGTGAAGTGTTGAATGACTTCCTGAAGGAGGCCAAGGTGGTTTTCATTAGTATTTGTGGGTGTGTTTGAGGTGTTTATCCATCTGGCAGAAAAAAAGATTGCTGTTACGCATTTCTCATGTACGCCATACAGAGGTATGGCTTTGGATGTTATGAAACTAACTCGTTTTAAGACAACAGGGAAGTTTGTTACTATAATTTTTTGGGAGAGTTTTTTTTTGTTTGTTGGGGATTTTTTTTTATTTCCTCATGTTACACATGAAAACTATTCAGTGATACTGTTAAATTTCTCCTGCATCCTGTTTTTATCCCTGACTGGTACTACCCACTACACCAATATCCTTTGCTCCCCTCGGTCTCCCCACCCTACCAAAGTAATCTTAGTTTTCAAGGACAAAAGGTGTTCACTTGAAAAACTGCAACCACAACTGCATATTTTATTGAGTATCTTAATTTAGTGTGGAAGTGCATATTCAGAGTCATCAATATGACTTCTTCTGTTTATAGTTCTATAGTTCTATAATTCTATAGTTCAGGCAAGCTGGTCAGCAAAATAGCAGTATTGGTGGAAGCCAAAACTGTACCCACTGCTTTTCATGGGCTTCTCCACTTTTGAAGATCTTTGGATGCAAAATTATATTTGTAATATATCAAGTTAGTTGCATTTTTATATGTTGATGATTTGACTGTGTAAGAAAATACTCAAAAGATCAAAAATCTCCCTAGAAAAAGCCATGAAAAAAAGGGTACTGTGGACACTGTCAGTTTCAGAACATAGCTGAGGGAAAAACATTAGTTAAAACACTTTCAAAGGAAAGCTTGCTGTGGTATATTTTTGACAATTTAAGGCAAGACAGTCACAGTACTACTAAGTGTATATTTTTCCTTCTACCTCTTACTTTGAAGAGTCCTATGAAAGAACAATAACACAAGCTATTTCAAGATTGCAATTCTACTGAAGGTTTCAGTATCTTTGAAAGGGCTGAGGAAGAATAAGGGCAAACATGCCTTATTTGTGTTAGCACTGAGACTGGACATCAATGAAGACAGTGGCACACATTGTCTTGTATTGGTCAAATAGCACTATCTATGCATTCAGTACCCTGCTGTACAAGGTGATTTTATAAGACTATTCCAAAAAGCAGTTAGATATGATTTCAGGTAAACCAAAAACATATCTCATGGTTTTCACTAATGTATTTTTTTTATTTATGAGCATATTGACATTTATTATCTTCAGAAGAAAATAGAACTGGGGAAAATACAGTATCTGTGGCACCTGGTTGGCAGTTAAGCATTAAATTCTCTCTGAGGATTTTTTTTGAAATTAGTTGTTGATCTGAACCTTTCATCTTCCCACAGG